CAATAAACATGGCTTCATTTCCTTGTACAAACAAAATAAAATATTACTTTTTGGCCAAGAAAAAGGAGTGTTTAAGAATCACGTAACAAAATACATATTCATGTCTTTCACTCATGCAAGTTCAAATATTTATCTTGGCTAAATAATAGCTCTGTGAGCTCTACCTCCTTCACAATGGGATGATCTCTTATGGTTCTGAGGTGCCAACATTCTAGTCATAATGTTTACTATCTCATACAAGCTCGGCTGCTGATGACTTCTTGTTTGTTCTGTGCACATTAATCCAATCTCTATTGTCTGTTTTGCTTGATCAAACGTATTTTCTGTCATTTTCATTCTTTCATCAATGACCGCCTGCAGATTTCCAGTATAATGCGCCCTGATGAATTCAACAAACCTTTCCTCAAACCCTTCCAATGGCTTTGTATTTGTCATGATCTCTAGCAGAAATAATCCAAACAAACAAATTCCTGAAATGCAAATGAATCAGGAACTTGTATTCAGTTCAACATGTCAAGAAAACCGAAAGCGAAAACTGGGAATTCAATTCGGCTTACTCTTCGTGATGTTGCTTCGATCTCCAACCTTAAACCTCGAGATTAGAGGTTCCTGATTATTAGACAACAGAACAGTACTTGTTCTCAGATCGTATCCTATATCAGGCCACTGCTCTTCCAAATAAAGCATGCCTTCTGCAACTCCCTTGAGTACTTTCAATCTCCGCTTCCACGGCGGAGCAGACCCTGATATCCATATCTCCACGTTGCTCTCTTCTTCCGTCCATTCTGCAACAATGGCCCTCAATTTCCTGTCATTACACCAACCGTAGACTCGAAGCAAGTTCTTGTGACATAACTGAACAATAACCTTACATTCCTCCGCGAATTTCCGCCGGTTCTCCCCGGAAATGTTCTTCCAATAGATCTCAATCCTCACTTTAAAACCATCCCTCAGGATTCCTCTGTAAATGGCAATGCCATCACTCTTCCCCACCAAATTCTTCTTTGAAAATTCATCAGTAGCAGCCTTCAACATGTAAGGAGTGAACCTGTGCCTTCTGCACATTCTTGGAAGAAAATCTGGCCTTTGGAGACAGCACCACCAAAATCCTCCCACTATCAAGACGATGAAGATTGGAAAACAGAGCAGTAATATCACAGCATTCAGACGAAACCTTTTTCGACTTGGGAGGAGACCGGAATGAATAAAACTGGAAGAATTAAACCGTTTGAAGAACTCAGAATCCGAGAGTTTACTCTCCGAGAAATGATTGAAGGATAGATTGAGAAGGGTAAGGTTGGACAGGGGAGAAAAACTCTGTATCGGGACGTCACCGGAAAACTCATTGCGGCTTAAATCCAAAGCCTGGATTTGGGTACAGAGCAGAACGTCAGCGGGAAAACTTCCTTTGATAGAATTGTTGGAGAGATCAATGGATACGATGCTTAAGGGACAGTACTTCCAGAAGAAACTGAAGGACAAGTAAAGCGGTACGATCTTAGGGCGGTTTCGGAGGTCGATTTCGGAGAAGGTTTCCACGCAATTAGGGTTCTTTGACTCGTTGCAGAGATGGCTGGCAACAATGGTGAATCGGAAGATCTCGTGGAGGTCCATAGCGGGGGAGTTGCAGTATCTTAGAGATGGGTTGTGGAGGCAGTTGTTGGTGATGGTGGCGTTGAAATTAGGAGGCGGTTTCAAGTTCGCGAGATCCTCTATGACCGTTGCTGAGAAAATGGTGTAAGCAGTGGCGGAAATGGAGACGAAGAGGAGGAGAAAAGATGCTGGAATGGAAGCCATGGATGAAGATCAGAAAACTCAGGATTCGGTACAAGCGGTTTGTGCTTGCAAATAAGAACGGCCAGGGCCGAAATGGCGGTTAACAATTTTTTTTAAAATTTATGACCATTCAAAAAAAAAAAAAAACATTATAAAAAATCAGAACTAGAAAAATAAAATCTCAGCTCAAGTATGAAATGTCTAAAATGTTTTTAATAAATTAATGTGTAAAATGTATCGTTGAAGATATCTTATTCCAAGAAAGAAAGAAAAAAAAAACACAAAATTTTCTATATATTTCATTAGGAGTTCATTTTAATAATATAACTTTCATGATTTGCAATTGAATTTGTATCAAATATATATGTTTTAATTTGTGAATTTAAAGGATAAAAATAACCCAATGAAGTCACATCAATTATTACATTTCTTGGTAAAAAACGAAATTTACAAGAAATGGTTAGATTAGCTCCATGGCAGTAGCAACGGGCACAAATTGATTAGCAACAGAAATATACAACAAAACAGAACTACTTGCTAAAGAAATAAAAACCTAGAAGACATATTTGATTGAATCTCACTACTCAGTACCATATGCTAGCCATCGATCCGAAGCAGATGATGAATGTCATGCGAAATCAAAGGCCTTGATTGAATCTCAGGGTCATTTGCTAGGGTTCCAACAAATTCTTTTGGAATCAAACACTTCTCTGAAGAATACAACTTCTCTTGAATTGCTTGAGATGCAAGCAAACTTGGGAGTTCTTCAGTATGTGCTATTTCCATCTTTTCCTGCATATTAACCACGCATCTATCAAATTAATAACAAAATTTCTCCAACAATTAAATTCTAAAATTTGAATTTGAATTTTCTAGGAATATTACAGGACTACAGGTGAATAATTAAAATAGTTAAAAATAAAATGTACTGTAATCAAAAGGGTTAAATTTAACTAAAGTACCTGAATTAAGGACATGACTTGAAGAAGTCCAACTTGAGCCTGTAAGAATTTGACATACTTGTAAGCTGCTTGCAGCATTTCGGCGGTGTTCATCTTTTGCCCTCCAGGAATCAGGCTCCCGAGCTCTTGTGTCTTCTTAGTAATCTTCCTTCTCCTTTCACGCGCGGCTATGCTTTGCGGGGACAAGTTCACCTGATCACCTGCTTTCTTTCCTGTCTCATCACTCTTTCCATAATTGAAGGACGTTGATGGAGCCTTGATCAATTCTGGCAATGGAGCTAGAATTTCAGGCAAGAATTCCACAGCAGGAACAGTACTATTGAAGAATTCTGGTGCCAAATTTGCACAGCTCTTTTGGTGGTATTGGCTGTAAGACTCGAATTGATCTTGATGTGGGAAGATTGAAGGAAACGGAAAGGAAGGAAGGAGACGAGTGCTACTGTAGATATCTGAGTAACAGAGCTCTTCAGGCTGCAAAATTGGATCAAAACAGGCGTCGGGGGGAGCTAAACTGTTGTCAAAACCGAAGAGGTCACATTCTAGTTGTGGTTGTGAAAGGAGAAAGCCTTCCATCTCGGCGTTGAGATAGTACTGGAGAGAAATATCAGAGTTGGAGCAGAAGCTCAAAGCCATTAAGGACCAGAACCTGAGTACAAAGAAAGAAAAAATAGGAGAAATTAAATCAAGAATAATGGTAAAAGGAAAATAATTGTAATAGTATTGAGAGATGAAGAAGATCTAGAAATACCTGAGTAGAAGATACTGTCTTGTCTTGTCGTCTGTCTTTTGGTTGAAGTGCAGGAGACCTGAAGTCAGTAAACAAGAAGGAAAAAAACAACCTTATCAAACTAACTCTAATGGGGTGTGGTGTTGTAGGAGAGAGAGAGAGGGGAGTGGTCGAGAAGTGGGAAGTTATGGTTTTTAAGGAGATTGTTATTATTAGAGAGAGAGAGAGAGAGGTTATGGAAAGATAATGTAACCACCTCCTAATTATTAGGAGTTAAAAGCAGTACACGTGGAAAACATACGCCTTCTGTTTCTAGGGTTTCCCCTAATTATTCTAGAAACCGTTACTTGCACTTCCATATGCTTGGCGGCTGGCTGAGATAAGTATATTGTTATCATAGATTTTGTTTTTCATTTTTTCTTAATTTCCTCGGAGAATTTTCTTTTATGACTAAATCACCTTCTATTTTGTGTATTGAGTGGGAAGGGATGTTTGTTTTAGGTTTTGGAATAAGTTATTAATTGATAGATTTACCCGAATAAATTAGATATTTGAAATTATTAATAATAATAATTATTAGTAATTGAATATCAAATACTCCCAAGTTTTTAAGGACTAAAATGAAACAAAGTGACCAATGTCAAGGACTAAATTGTTACTGCTCCTATATTTTAGGACAAATATAGCCAAGTTAATCACTGGTATCATTTTTCTCCCCAAGTACTGCAGTATATCATCGTCTGTTTCATCTCCCACTGACTATAAAAGGGTGAATGGATAATGTTGTACATCAGCTGTCTTGTGGGTTTATTTTGTTTGTTTTGAGGAAGCTTTTTGTCAGGAATGTTGACAGCATTGCAGTAGTTATTTTACATCTTAACATTAATATTTAATAGTGTGTTTGGTTTAAAGAGAGAGAAGCGAAAGAAGTAAATTTTTTTTTTTATTTAGTTAAAAAAAATTGAAGAAAAAGGAAAGAAAGTCATTTATGTTATTTTTTAAATTTTTTTTGGTTATTCAAATAAGAGGAGAGAAGAGAATAGAAATAGAAGGATCCAAATTCACCCCTCCCTCCTTTTCTTTTGTTTTCCCTCACATTAGGGGGTGTTTGAATGGGAGTTTGGCCAACAACTATTAATTATTAGATTGAGTAAATGTGTAAATAAAGATGTTAATTTTATATTTTTTTATTTTAAAATGTTAAATTGGTTAATTTCAAAATAAAAATGTCAATTTTTAATTTTTTTTATCTAAATATGTTAACTTTCAATTTTTTTTATCTAAAGATGTTATTTTTTTTACTTAAAGATGCTAACTTTTAATATTTCGATTAAAAAATTCATTTACTATATTGACATTATTATTCAATTAATCCTTAAATAAAAAAAGTTTAAAGTTGATATTTTTAAATAAAAAAATTGAAAGTCAACATTCCTATTTAAAAACTAATAAAGTTAACATATTTAAATAAAAAAAGTGTAAAGTTAATATCCTTATTTACATCTTTTTTCTTATTGGATTTAATTGAAATGGATTAAATATTTTAAATTCTAAATAATAATAATTATTAGTCATTAAATATTAATTATTTGTTATTAATTATTTTTAAAAAGTTAATCCAAACACATACTAAATATATGATAAAACCAAATTAGATTTAATTGAAATGGATTAAATATTTTAAATTCTAAATAATAATAATAATTAGTCATTAAATATTAATTATTTGTTATTAATTATTTTTAAAAAGTTAATCCAAACACATACTAAATATATGATAAAACCAAATTAACAATAGAATCAACATTTTTACTTCCTATTTTCCATCATAAAATTCTCAATAAAGAAGTTTTTCTTCCCACTTATTTGGGCGGTAAACAAAGTTTCTTTGGAATTCTTACTACCCAACTATATCCCTATATTATTGTTTCAGTTTTTCGTAGGCTAAAGGGGAGTAAAACCCCAAATGTTGCCTCCTACAATCCTACTCAAAAGCCTTAGAAAAAAAGTTTCAAAGTGTCGATTAAACTTGTGTAGTAGAATTTGTCTTGTAGTCCAAAAACTATCACATTACTATAAACTACTCCAGATTATTCTTTAGCAATGCAAGGCTATTAAAAACCTAAAAACTTTTCAAGCTCTTTTTTATTAGAGCATACATCGGCAGCTTTTTCTTAATTTTTTCAATATCAACTTCTTCCTAAACATATATATATATATATATATATAA